CCTTGCGCAAAGAGGTATAGACTTTTATCCCGTGTCTCTGTGGTTCCACCCTGCTTGCCTTGTACTAGTTTTTAGTGCATTAAAGCAGTGTATTTGGAGTCTGTTGTACCCCTATTATTTGTTGGGTTTGACACGCCTAACAAGTATCCCCGACAAGTATTGGGTATCCCCGATAAGTTATGGCGTATCGGTGATACCCTATTGGCGGAGCCATTATTTATCGGGGATACCCCATTACTTTTCGAGGATACTATTTTACTTTGACCCTGGCTCCGCCAATGACTTATAAGTTATCTGAAATTTATATAATGACATAAAAGGGCATTTAAAAAATATTTTTTCTTAATTATATAAGAGGTATATTTGGAAATTATAAAAAAAAAACTTTTAAAAAACTAGTTTAAGTAGCTTTTTAAAACGCTAGCTTATAATCTGTTTTTTGGCTTGCCCAACATGACAACTTAAAAAAGATCGAAAAATAAACTAGCTTATCAGCTAGTTGTGGTGGGCCAAACATAGCATTAATCATTAAGACTTTGATTATTATTAGTTTTTTTTTTTTCTTTTGTAAAAATGACAAAAAAATTGTTATGTAACATTTCAATTGAAACCGTGGTTGTGGTGAATGGGCGACTAAAATGAGAAGATGAAATGATGAAGCAATCCAACTAGATTATAATATAAATTGTAAAAGAGTTAGATAAAATGACAAAAATATTAAAAATAGTTACCTAATATAGACAAAATTAAAACTTTATTACCCCTCTTTAAATAATTATAACAACCATGTTGGTTAATATGTACAAAAAAAGACCTTAGGAACCTAACGTGAACAAAATTAAAATCTTATTACCCTTTTTAAACGGTTATAACAACTATGTTGGTGTAATATATAAAAAAACCTTTAAGGACCTAATGTGAACAAAGTTAAAACATTATTATCCTCCTAAGTCATTAACCTTTGTTAAATTATAGTTAGACCCTATTTTGGCATGAAATCATCCAAGACCAAGGCTAAATTAAGGACCGAACCTAATACCATATTAGGTCTGTTTTAAAAAAATATATCCAAAAAATAAAGCTCAAAAGGATTATTTGTCGATCTAGCTAGTCCTTTAATACTTGATCCAAAAATTTCGAACTTTTTGTATATTCCTTTACCTTTAATTCAAAAACACAAGTCATTTGTAACATAAATGCATTAGATCGGTGATTAACGGACCCGATTGTCTTCTCTTTCTTATTCAAGATCAACCAATCTTAATCGAATCCAATATTGACAAAAACTTGTTGATACATACTTAAGACTTCTTTAAATTGATTGTTTGTTTGTTTTTGTTCGATGGTGATAGGGTCTTAACCCAAAAAGATCTCTTTACAACACAAAAAAGTAAGAATGATTCGATGTTTTATAACATCATTTGATATAATTGTTAAAATATTTCTATAATGCAAGTATATATATGCATGAGGAAACGGGACCGTTATACAATTGCGAGTAATAATATGTTAGACAGTTAGAGTGGGAGCAGTGTGTAAAACTTTTAGCAAACAAAACATAACATATCGACAAGATAAGAGAATGTTAAATTACCTTTTTGCCCATAACACAATATTAAAGGTAAACATTATCAAAGGGTTTTGCGCGTGTAAATTGCATGGATTTGTAGCGTAAGCATGCAGCTCCCCGCGTGCCAACCCAAATGTTAAGGCAATATTTACGCCCTCCAACACACCAAAAAAAAACCACAATTAAAAATAGAATATTCCTTAAATACTTTTTTTTTCCTCTTTACCAAACATTTATTAAAATTAGTAACTTGTTTCATGGTTTACAAAATGCATCATCGTATTAGAAAATATATAATTTATCCGTGTAAAGATTACCCAAAACGCATCATAGTATTAAACAAATCTTAATATTCCTTAGACTGGTTATATTGATATGCATGGTTTTTCAACCAGTTCGAGTGGTAATTAACAACTTTGATTATATCAACTTTGTATCCTACCAAAATTCCTATGATTAATTAAGATAGATTAAGAATATGTACGAATATTGAGACGTATTAAAAGCTATAAGTATAATTTGATCTATACAAATGACGGTTTTCATAGTTAAGATAAATTGTCTTTAACTATCTATATATTGTAATTAATGTCATATAAACTCATCGCATTGAGCAGATTCTATAAAATTTCGATCATTTAAGATTTTTATTTTATAATAAGTTATGTGTTTATGAATTTGTGTATATTAAAAGAGTGGAATATCTAGAAAAGAAGAGAGTAACAGAAAGAACATATAGGGAGAAGTGAAAGAGAAGCACTTAAAGCAACAAGGCAACTTTGAGACCCAGAATCAAGTGTAATTCTCTTGTCTGTCTTCACTCCCTCAAAGTAAAGAATATATATATCACTATTCACTACCCACATTTCACATTATATATATATAATAGATATAGATATATATAGAGATATATTCGATATATATATATATATATATATATATAGATATATATATATATATATCTAGTAGTTTTTACTGAAAGTTGTTGTCAAAATACATGATATACAAATAAATAATTGGTAAAAAGGTAAAGTTGCAGTCTTTGTATCGAAGACTGGAAACACGTCTCTTACCCCACCCCACCACCCAACCTCAACTTTCTCTCTCTACTTGATTTAATTTCTCAAAAATTGCATGTCTTGGTCACAACTCAAAACCCAATATTTATTTCCAAATCTCACATGCTTAAACTCTAAAAAAACTCAAAACCCCCCATTTTTTGTGCTCAAATCATCAATACCTGAGCTATTTAATTACTTGTCGCCTTGAAGTTGTTGTTGTCAGAGCATAGAAATCAAGGTATAGAATTAGAATAGAAACTTTTGGAGAGAGAGTGTGTGTGTGTATCACATCACAAGTGGGATTTTGTTTATGTTTTTTAAAAACATCATTTGAAGCTTTGAAATTGGCGTTATAGAGTGAATTGGGAAGCTCTTTAGAATGGCTAATGCTCATTGGGACAAACACAGAAGAAGCTTGTTTTTGTTTTGATTATAGAAGGAGACAAGAAGAAGGCTAATGTAGAAGAAAAGAAAAGCAGAAAAAACAAATACAAGGAAACAGATTTGTTTGAATAAACGCAAGTACATACGACGATGGATTTCAGTTATAACTTTCAGATTCTTCCAATCATTTCCTCCTTTGTTTTCTTCCTCCTGCTGTGTTCCAGTGTTTTCTCAGCCATGTCAGCGGCGCAATTTGAAGATTTCCGGCGAATGAATCAAACTTTCCGCCCAGGGGAAGAGTCAAAGAAAATGAGATTGATCAGAACCCATCTAATGAAAATCAACAAACCTTCTGTCAAATCAATTGAGGTAACTCTTTAGATGATTGCCATAAACACCCATGCTTAATTAGTTCATCGTCAAAAATCATACAATCACTTCACATTTTCTCCCCCTGTTTTTGCGTGTTCTTCAAACTTCTCCTGATTTCCTTCCATTTCAACTCATTTCGATGCAGAGTCCAGATGGAGATGTAATGGATTGCGTTTTGGTTCATCATCAGCCAGCTTTTGATCATCCTGTGCTGAAAGGAACAAAGCCATTTGTGGGTTTCACATTTTCGTCTAGAAAATTACAAAATTCATTATTTTTCTCCTTTTTACTTAATTTATCTTGGTAATTTTTGTAAAATTAGGACCCACCGGAGAGACCAGATGGGTATAATCATGCAGGAACGGAGTCGGAAAACTATCAGCTATGGAGTTTATCCGGCGAATCCTGCCCGGAGGGAACAATTCCGATCCGAAGAACAACAGAAAGAGATATTTTACGTGCAAATTCTATTCAAAGATTCGGTAGAAAAATTCCAAAACCAGTCAGAAGAGATTCTTCTAATGGTGGCCATGAGGTATTTAAAATCTTCCGAAACCAATTAAAAGTGGATGCTTTTATGCTTTGCGTCCATTGATGCATATATATTATGAATGGATATAGAAATTTTGGTCGCTAAAAGTAAAAAATTCGTTGCTAAAAATGTACAGCATGCAGTTGGATATGTAAGTGGAGAAGAGTACTATGGAGCAAAAGCAAGTATAAACGTATGGGATCCAAAGGTGACGGATCGATTTGAGTTCAGTCTGTCGCAAATGTGGGTTATTTCTGGTTCGTTTGGTGATGATCTTAACACCATTGAAGCAGGTTGGCAGGTATTTCTTTTATTCACAAATCAAATATTGAAATTTTGTACAAGTATAATACTTTTTAAATTCATATGAATTTTTTTCAGTTTTTTTAGTGTATTTCTAAATTGACTTCTGAAAACAATTATATCACATGATAATTTAAAATATTAGTCATTTATAAAGAGCAAATTACCTTGAGAACTTATGGAAACACGGTTTACTTCCTTTTTAAGTAATAACAAAGCCAAAAAGTCAGTAAATCACATGGAGTTTATAAGTTAATTGGAACATCTTTAGGCGGTAATTAAAAGTTAGGATTGTTTGATATAATTCTATCATACTTAGACACATTTAATTCGGTCCTAACTTCTCTCATCTACCTCTTCCAATATAACAACACCATTAAAAAATTTGATAAAGTTATTTAATTACATCAAATACAAAGTTTTTGGTTTTATTATTACACCAAACACATTTTTTTTTACAAAAAATTTGCAAATGACGTAGCACTCTGTTTTCGAACCATCTAATAAAAGTGGTTCAAATTCTTTTGTTAATAGGTTAGCCCAGAGCTCTATGGAGACAACTATCCTAGATTCTTCACTTATTGGACAGTAAGTTATTTAATTTTTTTAGCTAGTTTGTGATAAAATGTATTTATTTATTTCATTTGGTATATATTTAATATTTAATATTAATTAATTGTAGACGGATGCATATCAAGCTACAGGATGTTATAATCTGCTATGTTCGGGTTTTGTTCAAAACGAATAACAAGATTGCAATTGGAGCTGCTATATCCCCAACATCGTCGTATAATGGTGGACAGTTTGATATTAGCTTATTGATATGGAAGGTAAATCTTTTAATTAGTTTGGAAAAACAATTTCTAAGAAATCAAAATAATAAAAATAAAAAACTAATTTTTCTATTATGGGAAGTTAAACAAAATTAGAAGAAAAACAGTTATCGTATGAAACGTATATGTATGAAAAAGAGGGTTTATGAAGTTGTTTAAACTTTAATTCTAGGATATACATTTTTTATAACATTATAGTAAACCATTTTTTTTGCATAAAATAAATGTTAAACAAATATAAATGCAAAAAAGCAAAAGGTAAAAAGAAGGAAGAATCATTTGGTTTCTTTAAGGGTGAGAGTGTCATCATATATTTTCAAAGTAGTCTTGCATTGTACACCATGGAGAAATTATTTCCTAAGCTTTTTCTAAAATATATTAATATTTGTGCATCACTTAAAAGGCAAGACTACTTGAACGCTATTTTGGTAAAAAAATTTTACCAATTCTTATTTGAAGTTACTATAAAATATAAACGTTTTCCATCTTACAATTATTCCTTACTCGATATTGATTTTGATATCCTTGTTTTCTTTGTTATTTATAGACATTTTTGTATATCTATGTTAATGGTCAAACTCTTTTAAGTATTAAAAAAAAATACATCATATTTGAAAAGCTTTTACATATTAGGAAAAAAACAACTTTAATTCAAATCAAATTTTTGTTTAAAAAAAAATTGTTTTGAATTCACTTTTCTTTTTTCTCCAACTCCCTTTAATTTTGATTTTTCACGTTTATCACATTTTGATTAATTCGCCTAAGTTATTAATTGTTTAAAATAAATATAATTATTTTTACTAAAATACAATATTAAAGAAATCTCTTCCAGACGGTTTAAACGATATCAATATCGAAAATTAAAAAATACAAGCATCATATAAGACATGCTATGTTTCATCTTAATTTTGTTTCTTTGACAAACCATGTATTGAATATTAATCAATTTTTTTTCTTTTTCTCGTACCTTATTTCAAATATTATAGTTTAATGATGTTCAAGTTAATATTCATTTTTGAAACTTTGAAATTATCTTAGAAACCCTCAATTGAGGAGTATATTTTATAAAGCAGTATAAAAAGAAGAAAAATATAAATATTAACTGTAACGTTGGATTTTCAAATGGTTATCGTATAGTTAGAGTAGAAGAAATGTGCAATAATAAGATTTTTTTTTCAAAATAAAGATTAACGGAAAATTAACAATGGAGTCGAACAAACCGTTTAAAACGTTTGTCATTGGAGATGAAGCTAATATTTAATTTTCTATATGATTTTGGCTGACGACTCTCTCAAACAAACTAAAAAATGTTTGGTATATACATGTAATTAAACAATATTCCTTATGTGCTTTTTGTAGGATCCGAAGCATGGAAATTGGTGGCTTGAATTCGGATCTGGGGTCTTAGTTGGGTATTGGCCGGCCGATCTTTTCACTCACCTTCGAGATCACGCAAGTATGGTTCAATTCGGGGGTGAAGTTGTGAATAGTCAAGCCTCAGGTTCTCATACCTCAACAGAAATGGGAAGTGGACATTTCTCTGGTGAAGGGTTTGGGAAAGCTTCATATTTTAGGAACATGCAAGTTGTCGATTGGGATAATAGTTTAATCCCATTGTCTAATTTGAAAGTATTAGCTGATAATCCGAACTGTTACGATATTAGAGGTGGGATTAATAATGTTTGGGGTAATTATATTTATTATGGTGGACCAGGTAAAAACCCGAGATGTCCCTAAATGGGGCCGAGTTTTTATTGAGTACAAATACACAGATGAAATTTTTATAGCAAGCTTCATTGTTTTACTTCGATTTGGTGATCAGGTCTCTTTTCATGTGGGTTATTCTTTTAATCTTTGAGGTTTTTATAGATTGAACAAATCTTGTAAATTAGCAATTTTGAGTTTAAATGATCAACATGTTATGGCTTGTGATGGCTTGTGATGTTATTTTCCACTTGTTTGTATTTAGTTTATGCATTTCATTCTTATAACTTATAGCAAGGTACACAATAGCCATTCTGACTTGGCTGTCACGCAGGCCTAAAAGTCCGACCTAATCAAAGTTTGGTCAACCCAAGCTTGGGAAAGGCCCGATTCATTTCAATTTTTTTTCTTTGTAAAAGTGTCATTGTAGTTAATTTGCTTATATAACATCATACTTCCATCTATAATGCATAGATATATGAAATAGAAAAAAAAATGAGAGTATGATACTATAATGCAAATATCGGTGATAAAATACTGCGATTTCTTGCATATAGGTCATTGTATTATATATTATAATGTACCAAAATGATGTTTTGAGCTCACTATAACAAATAACAAGAGTATATTAATCTATATGTAACATATGATAATTCCTAAAAATATTTTACAGGTTAAAATTAATTTATATATCGAGTATAAAACAACCTCTAAACCTTTATATGTTCATTTAAAAGCATCATAGTGACTAAACTTAGTGTATGTTCCATTTAAAGCAACCTCTAAACCTTCTTATATATTCATTTTTTATGGCGGCTCTTAAACTTAATTTTTAAAAATAAATTGTAAAAGATTTTGACCCAATCCAACCCAACCCAACCTAAGTAGACCCATAAAAATCTAAATAAAGAACAGTTAAGGCTCAAGCACATCCCTTTAAGTATCACCAAAGAGCAACCCAAAAGCCATGCCCGATGGCCTATTAATCCCCGCTTGGAAGCCGGGACGAGCCTGGTCTAAAGACATGGGATCTATATGTACCTCTAACTTATAGAGTAAATTACATAAAATGTCCTTGTGGTTTTCAAAATATATCAGGTCTAGTCCATGAGATTTAATTTTGTAGTTTTTGCCCCCATTTAGTTTCCTTGTTACACATTTCGTCCATTTTGTAACCACTTCTAGCCCCCACCCGCTAAGCCTCATCATGTGCTTTGCACATAAGGGTATATTAGTATTTTCCATGCCTCTTTCTCAAATTTGGTCGATAAAAAAGGATGCGATTGTGGGTTTTTCTCTAATTCCTCATTCTCCTATAAAGTATCTCTCATGATAAAGGATATAATTTTATGCATGTAATTGATATGTTGGATACAGACCTCCTAAACCATAAATAATCTCGATAATAGATTTATTCATCCTCCCAAGTGGTAATATTAAAGCTTTTTTGAGTTTGTTTGGTAGAGTACTTCTAATTAATGTTTTCTTCATCTTATGAAACTAAATATGGGTTTTTTTGGTTGGTATGATACTTGGATATGTTCAAGGGTAGTGTATTCTTGTATTGCTATGTTTTTTTAATGCCCTAGAAGCTTAAAATATTTTTCTTGTTGTACAAAAACCAAAAACTCAAGCATTTCATAAAGAATGTTTGGGTGCTTGTTATTATGTTGGGTATGTCGATGGAGTTTACATAGTTGGTGTTGGTGTACTGTTATTTAGAATGCTAAAGAATAGTAGACATTGGTATGCTGTTCAAATGGAATGAGGTTTGGATGTTTGTTCTAGAAAAGTTTATGGTACCTTGAATGATCTTTTATATGGGAAGTAAATACACATATGTTTCAATAAATAACTAAAGTGATATGTATGCCTTTTTTAGTAATGGTAGTTTAATGATTTGTAAACTTGCATCAAGGTTCATGTGTACTTGTCTAACTCTAATTAATAAAACCAAATAACTTAACGAATCCTGATAAAAGTAGTTTAAACCTTCAACAATTGCGACTAACATATCCAATCCATTAAGTCACCATAATTGACATCACTAAAATTAAACAGAAACCAATCATGAAGCGAAACAATTTACACCAAATAAAATATTCCATTACATAGCAAACCATAATTGACTAGAGTAAATGTCAAGACACATCCATTACTTACGAAATTATGTGCAATTGTTCCAAGATATTACTCCCTAATACGACATAACTGAAACATGTTAATGACATCATTTGTCAAGTTCACACATTGTTGTCCTCTTCCCACCTACAACCGAATGAATTGTATTCTTTCCAAATACATTTAAAGATACAACTACCATACATATCCAGTATCTAGTATTGTTTCCTTTGTAGTTAGAGTTTATGCTCTTCTAGACAACTTATTATCTTTAACCATTCATTGAATACAATGCTCATAATTTTTATAATTTCATATTCGGGCCTTCCTAATCTATTTGTGATACTAAGGTGGTAGTAGTTCAGAAATTACTTATGGACCACATGTTTTGACCTTTAATTGGATCTATCTTGAAGACATACATACCTTCTCATAATGTAGCCAATAACATTTATAAACCTAATTTTTTAGATCATCAACTTCTTCATAACTAAGAGTCATATCCTAATTAACAACTACAATATCCCTCGGCCCGATCATCCAATTCACTCCAACAGACAGACATGGTCTTCCTCCAGTTGCCCCCACCCAAGAGGCCTGCAGTCAATTTCTCTTCTCGTTCTCATCAAACAAAAGACAGTCAAACCACTGTCTTCGTTCCTCACCCTCCTTCCAATCAAATCTCTTCTAAGGTGCCCGGAGTCACCCGCCTGGTTACCTGTCCTTACGAAGGAGTAATCTCTAAATCCCTCCAACTTTTCAAGGTATTTCTATCAACTTCAACCTTTTACATGAACATCTTATTTCCTTAACATCCACAACACATTGGTCTCCCAAGGATTTGGTTTGTACATCATTTTTTATTAAACAGTTCGAGTTTTGATATTGTCCAAAATCTTTGATGATGTTGGCATCAATGGTTTTCTATGCATTTTCCAAACACTTCATCATGTATTACCTAATTTCTACCAATATCATGATGATTGGTTTGTCTCTCCCATCTACTAATTTTCTATTAAACACCTCACACATATTGTTTAAAAGTACATCTATATTTGTTCTACCTGGAAAATATGACCTTGACGAGTGTTGTGGCGGGATCTATTTCAACCAATCATAAGCATCATTTTAAGTGATACCTAAATTCTTCTGTAGCATTACTAAAATATTGCATATTACATGTTGATGCACACTTTAATAACATGACTTTGTAAAATGTTCCCTTAATGAAATCTTTATATTCTAATCTATGTACCTTAAGAAATATATATGCTCAACACTAAGGAATAATTTATCTATGGTTGGAATGACACTATATATCAAACCATATATTTCAAACATAATAAGATATATGTGCTAAAAGTATAAATTAAGCAACATAAAAATAAATGTACCTTCTGTTTTTATGTCACAAATATGAAGTTTGAGTTGGCTTAAATGTCAAGATCATCACTCAAGCATTCCAAGACCCATTTCCATGAGTCAAATAATTTCACTTTCAATACTAGCATATAATATGTGATACGTACCATTATTAAGATACATACCAACTGCAGTTAAAATTTGCCCATAAAAAGTTCCATTTATAAAATCTCCATAAAATTCAGGCAACTCCTGATGATATGCTTTGAACCAAATAATCACATGGTCTAAGCATATGTAAATACTTTAAATATTTTTGTAGTTGATCTATGATTGGTGAAGATTCAACTTCCAAGTTCACTATTGTTCTTAGATTGGTACTCTGCAATTCCAAGATGTAATCTTTACGTATCCCATATTACGCTCTGTAATCCCCCTTACTGATTCTAATCATTTTTCTTTTTTTAGTTGTCTTTACCCTCGAAATAACAAGATCAAACTTCTTTTGCAACTGTTCCCGAAGTTCCCTAATAGGAATTTCAGGTTTCCTTTGATCTGGTTTATAATTTGTTGATATAGAAAAGAAACGGTACAAGATTGTATATTTCTTGATTAACAACGATAATGATCTTTCACAAATGTCTTAAAATGCCTACTTTTGATCCTCATTACATTTTGAAATATATTTTACCTAGGGACACTGAGTTTTCTTACTATTTAACATTTTGTCGTTAGTTTGTTACTAATAGTATCTGACCCACTTGGTTGGGTAGTTCTAACCACAAGTTTATTACCATAACATAATGCCCTGCCCTAACTCTCACTTTATCATTTTCTTGTAATTTCAAATTACTCCTGGACTATAATGGATCATAATCAACACTTTTACTTGTTTAGTTGTTATAAATGTTTGGCCTAAATAAAAAGGATACTTGTCCATATACTCCTAAATCTAATATACTCTTAAACTACACTTAATTCCACATAAGTATATATCCGAGACCGAACTTGAACCCTTTGGTACCCATATTCTGTTTATCTCACTTTCTTCAAAGCCTTCAACATGTTCCTTCTTTTGCTCTACATCTATCATTACTATAAAAGTCAGTGTCAAAGTCCTCATGGTCAATTCCTTCAAACATACTTGTTAGTCAAAACTTCCTATTTAGCAACATCTTCAACATTTGTGTAAGACCAACCCATTTTGCTTCACTATTTATTATGAGAATAAAGTATCCTATGTCTACTTCAAACTATATTTTGAAAGATGAATAACAATTTGTCAGCAAATATATCAAGTCCTTATGGTTAAATACAAATAATCTTTTCTCTTTTTTCCATTAAAAATATGAATTATGTTTTGTACTCAAAGTTGATGATTTAAATGCATAAATGATAATTTAAAAACTCTTGTCACATAAATGTTATATTAAATGTATTTTGGCAATCAACAATCATTTTTAAGTTTGATCTAGGATCACTTGAATTGAGTCGGTGTATTATTAAACTGATAGATTTTGATTATGGAATCAAGTTTCTACTACCTAAGATTAATTTTTTTATGTATTAGAATAGGTTGTATATTTGTAAAAACTCGATTGATGTCCACCTTGAGTTGCATTGCATGTGATTTAATTTAACTTAGTGAAAAAGACTCTAAATATCTGGGAAGAAGTGGAGTTAGACAAATTATTTAAATACCAAA